TTGTTGTTGTTGTTGTTGTTGTTGTTGTTGCTGTTGTTGACTATATGTGAAGTTCAAAGCACCATATCAGCGAAACCTCTTACCAGATCTTCACCATGAAAATGCTCATACTCGGTGGCATCGCGAAAGCCAGCCAGCTGAAACCGGTATGCTACAGGGAAAATGGACAGGTCACAAAACATTGTGTACATTGTAGATAATTCTATGGGTAGACAGGAATAGCGGGGTGGTCTAAGATCATACTTCGAAGTAGTAGATAAACGGAGGGTACCAGGTTCAAGTCCCCCGGTTCGGTCTATTCTCGAATCGACTCTTGGGCCTATTCTTGAATGGGTTCCTGAATGCGCTGAGTGATCCTGATCAGATCCAATTGTGCCAAAGGGCGTTTCAGGGCCGAAATACCGATTCCTAGATCTTTCGTTTCCCCTCCTTACCCCTACAAATCTTTATCGCCATGGCTGGCTATCACCAACTCTCTTCACTTTGACCGGAGTTTCCACTGAGTCCTGAGATGTTGCAATTATACCGTATTTTCCCGAATATAAGTCGAAATTCTCTACGCCAGAAAATTCGCCAAAAGCTGGGGTTCAACTTACAAACGGAACTCGACTTACATACGGGAATCTGGCACAACAAATGAAGTGACTGGAATGTCCGTACAAAAATGCACTACCGTACGAACCATGTGAACATTGGATGACACTGGTTTTGTTCAGATTGTTCAGATTTTGTCTTACTGGCATGATAATTATGATCTCTCCTCGCAGAGAATTCATCATTTTGTATGTGTGGGTGTCATAGAGCTATAAAAACTTTTTTTCATGAAATTGACTCCTGGATTTGGGGTGGTCGACTTATATTCGGGAAAATACGGTAAATGGAATTGATATAGTACGACCTGCCCTCAAAGTTTTTTGTTTTGTTTCTGGTTTCTCATTTGTCATGAAGATGGATGCTAGTGTACTGGGAGAATTTCCAACATAATCTGCTGTGAGAGATGTTGATGAAGTACAGCAGGTCCCGGCATTCTTCCCGGTATTGAAGTATAATTCCAGTTCCTTTGTGGATGTTCTGGAGTTTCCCTGGCACCAGCGCATGCACTGTTCCCCAATCCCATTATGTTTTAGTCTCGCCCACTCTCTCCATGTTAGATGTACTGCGCGGTCCACAGTCCATTCAGAAGAAGGCAAGCGCTGGCTCTGGAGAGGTCCCGTGCTTGGTGATTTTTCCGGATTTTGTGGTACACTGTGCAGTGCCGCGAGATTCGAAACTTGAAAAAGGGTCCAAAAAGGTGCCTCAACTGTGGTTCGAACTGCGAATGTACTGTTATGCAAGTGCAGTGAACGGCCTGGATTTTCATGGTTTTTCCCCAATTCAGTGCTTGGGGTCCGGCGGATTCTGCCGGCAGAAAAATTGGCAGAATTCGGTACTTTTTCTGGTAAATTTCATGCATGTTTGGTATGTGGTTAAAAAAATGGAGCAGAATTAGAGGAATTGCCCGCCATAAGGTTCGTATGGTTCTGCCAATTTCACTGCTTTTCGAGCAGAATCTGCCACCTTTTCGAGCAGAATCTGCAACCTTTTCGAGCAGAATCTGCCACCTTTTCGAGCAGAATCCGCCGGTCCCTTGTGCTTTGGAGGCAAAACCTGGCTGAAATCCTATTTTCGTTATCGCTTGCTCTTCGGAGAAATAGACTTCAAAAACACAATGAAGAGCATTCCATGGGGGTTGCCAAAAAATTGTGACAAAACTCAAAATTTGACCCATTTATGGCCAAAAGCCAGGATATCATCTTTTTCTGAATGGACTGTAAGTAGGAAACCATGGGTGCACCTGAGCAACTGTTTCCCAGGACCTCGCACTGGCGACACTGCGGGCACTGGGTGCACCACCCAACGGTAGATACATTTCGTCTTCGTGACCTCCTTCAATCTCCTTTCCTCGCATACAAGAACTGTATCCTCCTCAATCGCATACAAGTGAATTACTTCAATGGGGGACGGGGAGGAATGAGTTGTGCAAGCGGCGAAGCCGAGGTCTCTTACCGTCTTCGACTTCCTCGTTCCATGCTCTTGGGCTGTGGTGCCGTCACGGTCGCCGCTCGTCGTTTCGGTGCTAGCAGCCGCCAGGGCCATGCCGCGTCGGTGGCTCGGCGCACTACACCAATGACATAATTTTTCCCAAATTTTCTTTTCACCTCAATCATCTGTGTCACCTTTCCAAGTTTTCCCATGCCTGGCTTACTTGGACCTCATTCGCTTCCTTGTCATTGGACATGACTGAATGCATTGATGGGCGTCTCGACCTCGGGCAAGATCACTCACAGACCTAGTACCTCGGTCAAGATCAGAGCGTCTTGCCCTCGCAAATGTGTAGGATTGTGTGTTTCGTTCGGTTTGCGAACTCAAATGAACACAACTGGCCCCCAACCCCAACAATGGCAACATGACTGTCTGGACATCCAGTTCGGACAGAGGTTGTAAGACCGTTATAATGCTGACGGGATCGCAGCATTCGCAGGCATGACATCTACAAAACGACGTTACGTGACACGGACCCGTAGATTTACCCACGGCCACCCGTACCGCACCCGGACCCGGCCAGGACCACCCACAGCACACGCACTGCTAGCTCATTCGCTGCTGCGGTAGATCTACTCGGTAGCTCACCTCGGCGAAACGTTCCGCACTGGAGCTTCGTGGTGAAATATTTTCACTGCAGCGCTAGCTGTAGTTTCTTCAGTTTTTCATGCTACAGCCAGTACAGGCAGCTTGTAGACGAGTTGTTGTTGGCAGCGAGGTGGTGTTACAGTTAGTTTAGCCGTCTGCTGCTTCGTGTCGAAGTTTGTTTGGGTGCAGGCTGTGTAAGAATCTGTGTGTTAGCCAAAGGGTTTCATCGAAGTTTCCTAGTGGCTCGGAGGCTCCATTCGACTGCTCCATACCATCACGACGTAGAGAACCGGTACAGCCTATCCGGCCACGACGTTCGAAGTCGTGTCCAGGATTCAAGCAAACCGTGACTCCTGGCTGCAGGAGCGCTCGCCGCTGGACGTTCATCGTCCCCGTTTGTCATGGTGTTCCAGTGATTCTGGGTAAGTGGTTGGCCAGTGTTGTTCGGTTCTTGGGTATTGTTGTTCGTTCTCGTTTCCTGAAGTGTCCGCAGTGCACCGGTAACCAAGGTAACGGGTATGCATGGCTCATGCTACTGTGATCGTCTCAACAACTAAATGACTATTTTGCTTGTGTACTGCGATTCGGTGCGAGTAAAGTACGGTGAATAGGTGTGGGTTCTCTTCACTCGGTGAGTGCGTTCGATTACACACTTGAATCGATTCATGAATCGATTCAAGCGCATTCAAGTCGTTCGATTTCATGTCATGAGCATTGGAATCGATTCGGAATCCATTCACTCTATTCACATGGGGTGATGTGAATAGCGCGAATCGATTCGCGAATCGATTCATGAATCGATTCGCGAATCGATTCATGAATCGATTCGCGTGCATAATCGAACGCACTCAGTAGAGGCGAGTCGAGCCAGCTGCAGTTCCCGGGCCGAAAGGCTGGCTCACTCCCCTTTCCATGTCCACGACAGTACATCATATTAAAAGTCTTACAAGAACTCCGTCTACAGAGGAACGTTGACTACTGGTCAGAGTGTTTCTATGCATGGCATGCGTGGAATATATGGACTGTTACTTCGAAGTATATGTACCAGTACAGTCGCGGCCAAAGAAATGCGACCCGCGAATCAAAAGCAGCTCCGCATTTCTATTTCACCGTGCATGGTCGAATAACCCATCCGGGAGGGCCAGAGCTCCTGGTTTGGACTCCCCGATACACGTTGCAATGCAAATGGAGTGAAGCTTCCTTGTAAATTTGCTGAGTGGAGGGCTCGACATGCTTCTCGTACTCTGGACGCGCGTTCTCGACGTTGAGAGCAGCCAATTTCCTCAAGTTGACGTCATAATATGATGCAATGTGCGCGGATTATCAGACATATCCTGGACCTTAGCTAGTACAAAATAGCACAAGGAAAAATGTTCGATGGTTTGATAAGCTGTACAAACGCCGTATATCAGTCTGGCCAGAAGAGCATTGCATCAAAAGAATGCTGTCAACTTGAAATTCTGTTGGGACAAAACTGTATGCGTGAGCTGCCTACTCTTGGGGGTGATGCACTCTTGTCAATGCTCAGTGCACGCTCTTAGAACCATGCCTCCACTGAAACAAAAGTGTGAAACACGTATAAAATTTTAGGGTTTCTTTGGAATCTGCAGGCAGGCATAGTGGGATGGTCTAAGACCATGATTGAGAAACAGAGGGTACCAGGTTCAAGTCCTGCTTGGAAGTCTGATCTACTCACGTCCCACCGCTTAGGAACTGCATCTGCGCCTTGATCCAAGAGGGTAGTGGCGTTCCTGCGGATACGGAAAACCGGGCATTTGGCCGAGTCTCACGCGAACCGTGATTTTTTTGAATCTGCACCCGCTGAAAACATTCTGAAGAATGTTATCCATTTCTACATCACTCATGATGTGCCACGTCTATTTTGGTGTGGTTTATTGTGTGAACATGTACAACAGATGGTGACTGACGTCCGTGACTTTTTTTGTTGTCGCAGTCATGGCTGCAGCTGCAGAGGTATGAATTGTCCACACGTCATTGCTTTGCCAAATTCTGAAAATGTTGTCTCAAAGACATCTTACAGTGTGCACACACATACACACATGTTTGCATGCGCACGTACACTCGCAATCACACGCACTGCACACACACACATACACACACACACAAACATACATACATGTTTGCATGCGCATGTACACTCGCAATCACACACATGTTTGCATGCGCACGTACACTTGCAATCACACGCACGTGCACACACACACATACACACATGTTTGCATGCACACGTACACTCGCACACTCGCACTGCACACATACACACACACATACACACACACACACACACACACACACACACACATGTACCCGCTCCATGCTATCATTGGACTGTTAAAACCTGTGCCAATACGTGTACAGGGCCATCTGGTATTCTTGATTATCTTCAGTGAACAGTAATGCTTCAATGTGGCCTACGTCAGCCAACCAGGCCCCTGAAATGGCAGTGGCCAAACGCAAGCAATAAGCCCATATGAATATATCTGCAGCTAGCCAGGGCTGTCTCGTCCCCCGATGAACACTTGATCAACACAGCATAGATCTCTGGCAGTGCTAAAACAAAAACAAACAAAAAACAGAACTTGCATGGCACCATGTATGCTACTAAGTACTGGTCGTAGCCAGGAAGTTGTAAAATACCGGTATTTTACGACTCCCTGGTCGTACCTTACTGGCAGCTTCTGTGATTCTCAGCTCATGGTATGCTAGCCCTTGGCAGATACTGCTGGCAGAATTTTTGTCTTCAGAATTTGGTACTTTATCGGGATGCTTTCATGCATGTTTGGTATGTGGATAAAGAAATGGAGCAGAATTCAAGGCAAGGTGAAGTGCCTGCCATAAGTTTTGTATTGTTCTGCCAATTTCACTGCTTTTCAAGCAGAATCTGCCAATTTTTCGAGCATTCCCCGCCAAGGTCTACTGTATGCACTCTGTATGTTGTTATTGCAGAGCCACGCGGTCAACACATGGCCATGGTCAAGCCAGATGTTCCGCAAGTGGATCCCACGCCTCCAAGCAGCGCTCAGCTGCGATGCAATTCGTGTTGAATGCTGTGCCAAGCGGTTGATCTCCGATGCGCAGAAGAAGGAATTGATGGCGATAAAAGATTCTGCCAAACACAATGACCGACTGCTAGATATGCTGAGCAGGGGTACAGCTGAGACTTTCCACACCTTCTGTAGTATTGTGCGTAGCACCGAACCTGAAGAAAACTTTTCAAAGTTCCTAGATGACATGCAGTCAGTGGATACCTTTGTTGGAGGTAAGTAGAATTGTTATCAGTCAGGTGACTGAGAGACACTCACAGAATTGTACATAGGGGGTGTAGCTCAACCATCTGTGGTGTAGTGACCATGTACCACCGGCAACCTCATAGCCGCCATTTTGCCTGTTAAGACTATGTAGTAGGTATGACGACCATTTTCTGGTGTGCTGACCGGACTATGCTGACTATAGAGGAGCTACACACCTGCCTGTACATGTACAGACAATACTGCATGTCCTTGAGTTGCTTTACTACATATCTGTACAGTGCATATTGATGGCACCAACCTGCGTTGAAGTTTTGCAAAGGTGCTTGTCACGGTGTTTGTGTGTTTGTGTGTGTGTTTGTGTGTGTGTGTGTGTGTGTGTGTGTGTGTGTGTGTGTGTGTGTGTGTGTGTGTGCATGAACCTGTTTGAAGGCTACCTTCTTGCAAAAGCACTAGTTTCGGCTCCACAATCCAGTGTGTCGTTACTATATAGCTTTCATGGCTGAGGTTGTTGGTATGTCTGTTGGCTCTGGGTTCCCAGTACTCCTTAGCCGAGGCTGGTTGGTAAAGTAACTCCAATTTCACTTCAAGGACATTAGGTACCAGTGCATCTAGTGTCTGCTTTTATCAAAGCAGCGTGCTGTCTATACTGGTTACGCCAGCAAGTGTAGGGTGTGCATAGGTAACTGTCTTGGCCGTTTTATGCCGATGTACTCCGTGTGGTGTAGACCAGGTGTGCATTGGTGGGCGATTCACGTGGCTTCGCCAGTTGTGTGGATTAGACAGTTATCTGGCGCAAGTCTTGATCTGTCTCATTCAGATCTTGTTTGCTATCGTTGCTATAAGAGAAAATCTGTGGGTGCACGTGCAGTGCATTTGCAGATTTCTGTGCTTCTCTTGCGACGGGCGTATACATTGTCCATGGTACATCAGGGGCGTCACCCGTGATGGGCACGGGGGGCACGTGCACCCCCCTAAAAAATTCGACCTTGTTTTTTTGCGAACTCCTGGTTATGAAAAGTGTAGTGCATGCTGGTAGAATCTACTAATAAACTGCATACACTAAAACTAGTTGTACTGCGCTGCCGCGATTGCGTGACGCGGCGTGAGTGCATGTAGCGAGTGCAAGTACATGACCAGTAGGCAGTACGACTCGTAGACTAGTTACACTTGTTACACTGAAATGGCACCGAATCATGGCAAATGCCTGAAAATGCTTGCAATTGCCTTCAATTTTTGAATTTTTTTCCCGGGGGAGGATAATGAAGAATTCTTGTCCCCGATCGTAGCGTCTTCTTGGCTTGTTGCAAAATCAAAAAGTCTTTCATTGTAGTTACACTGAAATGGCACCAAATGCCTGGAATTGCTTGCCATTGGCTTCAATTTTTGTAATTTTTCCCCAGGGAAAGCCCAAGTACCCCATGGCCGCCCCACCTTCAAAGTCGGTGGCGACGGGCCTGCTATCAGCGAACTTTTTCGTGTTTTCCTGTGCAAAATTCCTGTGCACCCCCCTGTGAAGAGGGTTTGGTGACGCCCCTGGTACATGGTGTATGCATGCTAGGAGGCATTTTGCGAGGCTGTGAAATGATTCGACTATGTACTGTTCTCTGTGTCCTCTCTAACACAGGCAATGAAGATGCAGCAAATAGAGTAACTCGACGTCAACCAGCCCGGTTCACCGGGAACCCACCACCTTCACCCAGCCAAGCAACTCGGTCTCCGCCAGCCATAGCACCCAAACCAAAGCCTGCTGTTAAACACCGGGCTACTCACGCATCTCCCCCCAAGCCCACCGGCACCTCTGCAATGATAGCGGCCTTCAATTCAGCCGGCCAGGAACAGAAACTGGCTGGAACTCAACCTTCAAAACCTAGTCAAGCCCCCCAGCCTCCTACTCGCCCAAAGCCCGCCACTCCCCACAACACAGCAAGAACAGTGGAAACTAAGGATCCCACTACGGTTCACAGAGTGCAGCCGGTAGTGCCTTCTGATCCTGTGTCTCCTTCACGACCACCGCTCTGTGACCACACACGACTAGCCGCTGGCGGTAACCAATCAATGGGCACTCAGGCAGCGACATCTGCCCCAGCAGATCCCAAGCCCTCTCCGAAACCTAGACAAGCTGCTCCTTTCAGGTCTGCTAGTGTCTCTACACTAGCATCTGGTTTTGAATCAGATAGGTACGAAGCAGTCAGACTGCCCTCGGATCAAGCCCCAAAGCCCAAACCGCGCCAAATGGCCATCACTGGTGCCAGGGCAGCTAGCTTGGCCATGAGCCCAGCCATAGCTGTGCAGCAAGTTCAGCGGTCAGCACTGCCAACAGAGAGCTTAGCTGCCAAGCCCATTGCCCTGCCTACGACTGGAGGCGTGTCGATCGCCAAGAATGCAACAGGAGATTCAGCTACGCCTCCGCAGCCCAACTCTCTGGTAAGAGATATAATTATAAGTGACAGGAGTCGCAGTGTGTGTTTACTTACCGTATTTGCCGGAGTATAACGCACACCCCCATTTTAAGTAATGTTCTGGCAATTCAAGGTATATCCGGAGTGTAATGCGCAGCTTAGATTTGAAAGCATTATTAATCATAAAGACAGTACGATAGTGCGACCATTGTCATAAAAAAGTGCATTCGGGTGGCTTATGCAGGGTCAGAGGCGGCACACTTCGTAGCAGTTTGATGCATTGCACTACTTTTCGAAGTACAATCAAGTTCATTCTTTTAAATTTCATATTCGGAGCATAGTGCGCACCAGCGATTTGGGGCCAGGAGTAATTCCTCCAAAGTGCACTCTATACTCTGGCAAATATGTTATATTGATATAATGGAAAACTGAAGTCTTCATAGAGTAGAATCAACATCAATCCACACTCCTTGCGTTTTTCTAGGGTGGTGAGTTGATGATCAGATCCATGAAAACAACTGTACACTCATACCTTGTTTTTCCGGGCGGTCCGGGACCGGGAACTTCCCGGAACTTTGAAATTTCTGTTACTCCGAGCCGCACATGTTTTGATGGGGACATGCGAGAGATATGGGTTTTTCGCACAACGCCACTTGCTGCCGCTTATCTGCACCAACTATGACGTAATCGCAGAACTTCACCGTGATCCATGCAGAAAAATAGTCACACTCTGCACACTCTGGGTTTTATGTACTCTTGGTGCACATCCTGTGTCATGTGATCAAGAGAGTCGTAGGCTGTGGGGAGACGGCACAGGCAACTCTAACCCTATATCTCCCAAGGTTTCGACCCTGGGTGGCCGTTCACAGTCACCCTTGAGAGGGGGCCGATTTACTATAGACACCTTATTGTCGGTCAGGATGTAACTTTGATTTCAGTGATTTCGGTAGAGAAAGCAGGTACCTAAATTAAAATTAGATAACACCTAAAAGGGACTACACACGTAGAGTGCATACTGTACGTGAAGGGAAAGCTCGTCACCTATAGTCTGTTTCAAAAAGATTTACAATCAGGTTTGGGTCTTAACAAATATGAAGATAAGGGAAATTTGGACAACAAAGTACATAGAATGGCTTGTTAGGACACGGCAAATTGTTCTGTGAAGATTTCGGAACAATTGGACCAGCCGTTAAGGAGTTAGAATTTCGGCCAGGTTTCCGGCCTTTTCCCATGGTTTACAATTTGCCCAGGAAGCCAGTATCGATTTTTTATCAAAACCCACGAATTATCCTTTCCTTTTTGGCCTTGTGGTTATGAATGCTGTCTGCTGACCATGAAGTTGTGAGTTCAAATCCCAACCTATCCTCAAGTCAAACTTTTTTTTCATTGTTTTGGCGATCAAGCTGGTACAAGACAAAGAAGATGGCTGCACCAAACGACTTGTTGTTGGAGGTCGCGCTTCCTGCCGAACTGACTGACACTTGACTGGCTCACGCCATGTGAACACACCCACAACACTGCAATGGTATGAGTGAATATGGAAGTCATCGCGCTGTAGCTTTTTGAGATTTATTTTAGTATTTCAAGATCGCCAATATATTTGAATTTAGCAGTCAACGCCGTCTTCTATCAGCGTTCACAAGCGTCTGCTTTTCTCAAAATGTCGTCGAAGTCACACGGATAGCTTTGCCAAGTCATGGCCTTGGGAATGAGTCCGTGTCGATGCCGTTTTCGTCACACGGTGAGTAAATTGCATCGCAGCTCAAGGGAACTATTTTGGTCACAAAACGGATTGGGACACATGCCGCTCGTCAACATTTACAACACTTTCGTTTCGACATGTCCTCTCTGACTCCATTATCGATACGAGGAAGAACTCTTTTGTTCTAAACCAGACGTACATGACTGTATCAACGTGAGTGAGTTGTCATTTTTCCTGCTTTCGCGCGGAATATTTCTTCGAGTTCACAGTGAGTTTTTCCAGGCAGCCCTCGAGTGCTCATACGGTAAGACGCCAAACTCCGCGGGCGATCGCCAGGATTGCAAATCTTTTTGAAACGGACTGTAATTCTACATTTCACCTGAAACCTGGCAGGGCCCTGACACCGAAATTTGTATATGTCATTTAAGAATATGTCTATTGCAGCCTGAGTGATAATGATAGTGCTATTTCCTGAATTTGACTGTTTCAGGATCTGTCGGAATATCACAATGCACAGACCCTCATGCATAGATCTCACCATGCTCTGCAGAGCGTCTACTATTGAGCAATCCAGTATTGGCTTGGCGCAGATCTCCCACCATAATAACTACAGCCGCGAACCACGTAGTGGAAAGCTACACAAGATGGGCAACCCATTTTCACATGTACAGACAATTTGCAAAAACGTTCCGAACATTCAGGGAGGAGACATTACTTGCATGACACATTGGCAGAACGAAGAAGGCAGACTCGAACATTCCAAGATTCTGCAGCCGTTGCGTTTCAGGTGTTGGGTGGCAGCTCCGTTACTGAGGCCGTAGTACAAGTTGTCGAGCTCGGCTAGCCGCCGCCAACCAGTCAGCGCAACCTCGGCCACGCGCTCGCATTAGCTCCATGCCCGCGTTGACGGAGCTCCGGGTGACTAACAAGCCGAACAGCTGCAAGTCGCGACTCCACAATGACACTGGCCGTCCGCGTGCTCTAACACTCCGCTCCATTCCCTCTTTAGCCGTTTCCCTGCTCGTCAAGCCCTGCAGGTAACTTGGTTTCTTCAAGGGTACAGACGTCTATGCCGTAGAAAGAGAGGTCTCGACACAAGGAGTTCCTCTCGACGGCCGACATGAGGCCCCGCACATTGAAAGTTCCGACAGCAAATTTTTCTTTTCCTCCGTAAAGCGTTCGTTCATCAGCTCGTACCATTGATTTCCGTCGCATCGTCCCGTCACAAATGTCCAATAAAAACTGCTCCCCAGTTGCGCTAGGAGACTACAATTCCTCCGGTGAGCGAGGAAGAAGAGTGGAGTTACCCAACTCAACCAAACATTACCTTTCTAGTAGGGTGAATTCATTGTCTTTCGGCGAATGTGGACTGATTTGAGTGGGAATGTAGGGTTTGTTGTTGCTGTTGTTTCAAATCTTTATTCTCACGATAGCCAGTGGCCAATAAGAGATAATAGTGTAAGAAAGGAGAAAGAGTGAGGAAGAATTGGGTGGGCAAGGCCTAGGGGTTAATGACTACTTAAGTGTACGTGCAGGGGTGGTCGCCACACGAGCATACAGAGTTGTGTACTTAAGTGTACGGGCAGGGGTGGTCGCTACACGAGCATACAGAGTTGTGCAACAGCAGGGATATCTCGGATTTGAAGGGAGTACGAGAAGGGATTTCGCGAAGCTGGGTGGGCAGGCAATTAAAGTAATGAAGGGCCTTGTACAGGGGAGAATGGAGACAGCGGTCAGTCCGCGGAGTTGGCAAGTGCCAAGTACGAGAGCGACGTAAATTATACGAAGGTTGCACGTTGCTAGCAGTATGCAGCGAGAGTATATGTGGTGGGGCATAATTGTGGCGCAGAGAATGCGCGAAGAGTATATGTTTAACTTTAAAGCGTGAAAATAATGTTGGCCATTTGATGCGATGCAAAAGGTGGGAGTGTTCTAAGTGTGTGTAAAGGGGAAGGTGGAGACATATTCTGGCGGCGTTCCGCTGGAGTCGTTCTAGCCTGTCAAGGGAAGTGTGGGACAACGGTGTGAGAGCATTGCTCGCATATGAGAATATAGGTAGTATGTATGTCTGATAGATGTGAGATAAAGAATCACTGGTGAGTGTAGACCTTAGTCTAAAAAGAATATTGAAAGACTTGAGTGATTTTTTGACTATGTATTCAACATGCTCCGTCCAACGGAGGTCATGCTGAAAGATTATTCCGAGGTGTTTGTGTTTTTGTGCTACGGTAAGCAGACTATTCCTGAGGTTGATCTGGGGTAGCTGTTCAGGGGGGCGGTTATTGTGGTAGAACGGGAGGATGACTGTTTTCTTTGTGTTAACCAGCAGGTGCCATCTTTGAAGCCAGTCTCCAGCTGCTGTGACACTCTGTTGTAGGTTTCGGGTGCAGTCTTGAAGAGTTCTCGCTATAGAAATCAGAGCGGTGTCATCTGCAAATTGGCTACAGGTGGTGCCGGGATTCTCACATGCGTGTGGAAGGTCTATGGTGTAGACGAGGAATAGAAGCGGCCCAAGAACAGATCCCTGAGGGACGCCGGCAGGGATCTCGAGGAAAGGCGATAGGTCGCCATCCACCTGGACCCTTTGCCGACGCCCCAACAGGTACCGTCGGAACCACTCCAGGGCGTTGCCCTGGACACCATAGTGGGAGAGTTTTGCTAGAAGGCCTGCGTGCCACACACGATCCAAGGCCTTGCTTAGATCGAAAAAGCAGGCATTGACGTGTTTCCCGTCGTCTCTCGCAGTGGAGAGGGTATGGACGAGACGGGCGAGTTGCTGCTCAGTGCCGTCTTTCTCACGGAATCCGGACTGCTGGTTGGGCAGGTGGGGTGTGATGTGCTTGTAGAGGAGTTGATGTGCAATTTTTTCTTGGATTTTTAATGTAGTGCTCAAGAGAGAGATGGGTCTGTAATTTGTTGGTTGGGTTGGGTCACCGGGCTTGGGTAGTTGTTGTTGTTGTTGTTGTTGTTGTTGTTGTTGTTGTTGTTGTTGTTGTTGTTGTTGTTGTTGTTGTTGTTGTTGTTGTTGTTGTTGTTGTTGTTGTTGTTGTTGTTGTTGTTGTTGTTGTTGTTGTTGTTGTTGTTGTTGTTGTTGTTGCTGCTGCTGCTGCTGCTGCTGCTGCTGCTGCTGCTGCTGCTGCTGCTGCTGCTGCTGCTGCTGCTGCTGCTGCTGCTGCTGCTGTTGCTGCTGCTGCTGCTGCTGCTGCTGCTGCTGCTGCTGCTGCTGCTGTTGCTGTTGCTGTTGTTGCTGTTGCTGTTGCTGTTGCTGTTGCTGTTGTTGTTGTTGTTGTTGTTGTTGTTGTTGTTGTTGTTGTTGTTGTTGTTGTTGTTGTTGTTGTTGTTGTTGTTGTTGTTGTTGTTGTTATTTTTTGAATTCTTATGTTGTTGTTGTTGTTGTTGTTGTTGTTGTTGTTGTTGTTGTTGTTATTTTTTGAATTCTTATGTTGTTGTTGTTGTTGTTGCCTCTGCTGAATAAACACCATTCAACTCGCAGCCAGAAGATATTTCATGGTCACTTCATTGTGTGTATGCCTATACGTGTGTTGACTTTGCAGGGTCAAGCAGGCAACACAGGTCCATGGTCAGGCCAGGTGTTCCGGAAGTGGATCCCACACCTCAAAGCAGCGCTCAGCTGTGGCACAATCCGCACGGAATGCCTTGCCGAAGGGCTGCTCACCGATCCGCAGAAGAAGGAATTGATGGGAGTAGAAGATGATTCTGCCAAACACAATGACCGACTGCTAGATATGCTGAGCAGGGGTACAGCTGAGACTTTCCACACCTTCTGTAGTATTGTGCGTAGCACCGAACCTGAAGCAAACTTTTCAAAGTTCCTGGATGACATGCAGTCAGTGGATACCTTTGTTGCAGGTAAGTACAAACCTTATCAGTCAGGTGACTCAGAGACACTCACAGAATTGTATTACATGTACAGCAAGTACTGTTAGATACCATTAGTACTTTGGTGACGTTCTGGGGAAACCGTTCATGGCTGGAAAAGAAGAAGCGAGGACCCTGGTGTTCCAGCCTCAATGCCACCTTGGGCAAGCCACTAAACTCCCCTGGCTTCAGGTGACTCTATTTGTGAAATGTGGAACCTAGCAGATGTTGGGCAGGGGAAGGTGGTGAGGGGACTGTGTGTTGGGATTTGTTGGGGTGGGATGCGTACCTACCTACCTTTGGAAACCTGAAATCGGGACAATGACATACCTAGGTATGAAAGTGTATACAACTGTAGCTGTAAGGCATGCGACAAATGCACTTTGGGTGCCTATTAACAACCTCGATATCAAGACGGTGCCGGCCAAATCGGGATGGTTGGCAAGTATGGGCATACGTTGGGGTGCGGAACAATAAGCATTGGCTCCGAGTGGGATGCCAGATGCCCACACCTCACAAGCTTTTGGATTCCAAGGACCCATGAAGAGTTGGCCTTTCCCGGGATATCCAAACACCAGCGGCTGTACTGCGTAGCCATGTCTTGTGGTCTTGTACATTCTGCCGAAGAAGCTGCAGGTCTTTGCCAAGCATATTAACAACTGAATTTTTTGTCTTTCTACCGGTATGTTTGGTGGTGCATGCGTGTGTGGTCTTCAGTTTCGCCAGAGTGCAAGAAAGACTGTAATAAAGTGGTAGACCTGATGAAAGAGTTCTCAGCACCGGAACGTCAACGGGTGGTCCACACTGCCAAGAATGTGGCACGAATGCGCACGTCACAGACCATCCTCGACAAGGGAAAGAAACCCATTCACGTACCACAGCCAACTTCACCTAAGAGCGTAGACCTGCTGAGGATGCAGAACATGGAAGATGGTAGGCACGGGGCCATTATCTACCGATGTCTTGTTTGATTTCGGATCTCGAGCCAAAGTTATCGTGGAAAAAGGAATTTTTTATTCAATCTACACGTAGCTGTGGAAGCGGTTTTTCCAGCCGTGCTGCTACCTACAGTCTACTGGGAACTTGTGGTCAGGCACAAGGGTACATGGATGCTTCTATTATATAATGGGATTTCTCGGCACTTCTGCCAGTGGTTGTAAGACTTATCCACTCACCTCCACCGTTACGCGGTGCATCTGCCGCTAAGGTTTACCAGGTGTTAGCGGCCGTGGTGAGTTCCCTTCGGGAACGGACTCGATAATTTACTTTGTTTTGTTTTGTTTTTTTATACGTAGCTGTATGTGCAATGTGCCATTGATTGCGTTTCCCACTTGCAAACACTTAGAGTAGGTTTTGCTCTCTCATTGTTCTTGTATGTTGCAAGTACTTCCTCCGCGTTATTAAAATTGTCGCTTCGCACATTGCAATATTTGAGACTTTGCTCGTCTTAGTCAGACTGTCGGAATCGCTGTTTTTTTGTGTGTTCGAACACTGGTGCGACCCTTCCTGCGCAATGTCTACTTGTCACTGAAGCCGTGGTGGTCTCAGACTTTGTCGGAGCTCTCTTCCGCGCCAAGCAAATTCATCGCGCTCCGCACTATTCCGCCCCAGAGCGCATTTCGTTTTCTGGAGTTCGTGCCGTCCCACATCGTTCGCGTGGGCATTTATCAAGACTGCAAGTTCAGGTATAAGAATCCTGGTATCTCTCCTGAATACGAAATGCTGAAGTTGACGATGGCAAGAACAAAGCGGTCTCAAATTCCTAAAATGCGCTACTTGTGGCGCATGTTGCTGTGAAGGTAGCAGGTCTGAAAACACCAACAAAATCAGCAAAGCGCTTGCCCAGGAAAGAAGGTGCAAAACTGCTTACCCTATCCCGCTGAAAGGTCGTTACAGTGTACTTGAAAAATGCTAGCTTGCCTTCATCGCCTGCCACCTGTAGGCATGGATCACTTGAAAACGAAGTTTCTTGACCTGAATTTGACAGCGCATCTTGTTCAGCGTATTGTTGAGTGCTGAAGGGTCTGCCTCAAACTCTGATGAAGACGTCGACCTTAGCTGCAAGTGCAGCAAAGTGGGGGGCCACTAACTAAAGCTTGGTCCGTCGACAATGCTCTGCCTCAATTTCTAGCTGATTTCTTTGCCCTTCGAGTGGACAAAATGTATTCGAAAAATCGCTCTTGGAAGCGACAATTTTGATGACGCAGAGGAAGTACTTCATGTGCACTAAGTCATGACTCGCATATAAACTGGAGTGCAAGGTGATTTCGACCCTGTGCAACTGTCCACTAGAAATTTGCTTTCAGTTTTTATCATCCCGGTTCTGCTTTGTCCTTGAAGGGTGGTAGCGTTCCTACGGATGCGGAAAGCTAGGCCTCTAGCTGAGTCTCACCCGATCCATGGAATTTTTATTTTCTTGCTTTGGTCTTGCTCAGAACAACGGGAAGCGGCATTGACTGAAATCGACCACTTGGTGTCCAACACTATCATCATTGATGACACGAAGGACTGTGCAGATGAGGCAGAGAAGTACCAGGGTCACGTGACACGGGCGGACGGCCAAGTTGGTAAGCAATAAATTGTACCTGTCTCTAGTGCATCAGCATATACAGTTTGCAGATTGGTAATTTCTCGCTCCACATATACTGGCATACACAGAGACATAGACAGCAATAGCGACAACACACAAAGTGAAGGGTAGTTGGCCGCAGCCAGATGTGAACCGGATAACGAGTGAGGTATGGAAGCAAGCAAGGACTGAGAACAGAGTGTCTCAGATAGAATAGTCGTGCCAGTAGATAGAAGAAATAGGCCATGATGCAGAACCACTTGGGACCGTCAAATTAATTTTCCTGGACCGAGCCAGCCGGGAAAAACCCCTCGCGCCGACGGACGCATTTGTGAGGGAAAAAACGGGTGTATATCCCCAATGGCGATTAGGCATCATGTAGGCATGGCAAGCACATCACGGCAAACAGTGATAAAAAGCATTGATAATAATTATGCACAGGAATAAAGGGTGGGAGGGCAGGGACACTGGTGAGACTCAAAACTGACTGAAGAAGTCAGGAAAAGAAGCGACAACAAAGAACACACCAGATGCCATATTTGCAACTGAAAATATTTCGCGAGAAATCATTTCTCGCCTATCTCGCTGCGCTCAGCCGGCGAGAAATACAACATCTCATCACCACCACCACCACCACCACCACCACCACCACCACCACCACCACCACCACCACCACCACCACCACCACCACCACCACCACCACCACCACCACCACAACCACCACCACCACCATACCCATCACCACCACCAACACCACCACCACCACCACCACGACTACCACCACCACCACCACCACCACCACCACCACCACCACCACCACCACCACCACCACCACCACCACCACCACCACCACCACCACCACCACCACCACCACCACCACCACCACCACCACCACCACCACCACCACCACCATCACCACCACCGCCACCACCATCACCCACCGCCACCGCCACCGCCACCGCCATCACCGCCACCACCACCACCATCACCACCACCACCACCACCACCACCACCACCACCACCACCACCACCACCACCACCACCACCACCACCACCACCACCACCACCACCACCACCACCACCACCACCACCACCACCACCACCACCACCACCACCACCACCACCACCACCACCACCACCACCACAACCACCACCACCACCATAACCATCACCACCACCAACACCACCACCACCACTACCACCACTACCACCACCACCGCATCTCATCACCACCACCACCACCACCACCACCACCACCACCACCACCACCACCACCACCACCACCACCACCACCACCACCATCACCACCACCACCACCACCACCACCACCACAACCACCACCACCACCATAACCATCACCACCACCAACACCACCACCACCACTACCACCACTACCACCACCACCGCCACCGCCGCCGCCGCCGCCGCCGCCATCACCGCCACCACCACCACGACCACCACCACCACCACCACCACCACCACCACCACCACCACCACCACCACCACCACCACCACCACCACCACCACCACCACCACCACCATCACCACCACCGCCACCACCATCACCCACCGCCACCGCCACCGCCACCGCCATCACCGCCACCACCACCACCATCACCACCACCACCACCACCACCACCACCACCACCACCACCACCACCACCACCACCACCACCACCACCACCACCACCACCACCACCACCACCACCACCACCACCACCACCACCACCACCACCACCACCACCACCACCATCACCACCACCACCACCATCACCACCCCCACCACCACCATCACCACCACCACCACCACCACCACCACCACCACCACCACCACCATCACCACCACCACCACCATCATCACCACCACCACCACCATCATCACCACCACCACCACCACCACCACCACCACCACCACCACCACCACCACCACCACCACCACCACCACCACCACCACCACCACCACCACCACCACCACCACCACCACCACCACCACCACCACCACCACCACCACCACCACCACCACCACCACCACCACCACCACCACCACCACCACCACCACCACCACCACCACCACCACCACCACCACCACCACCACCACCACCACCACCACCACCACCACCACCACCACCACCACCACCACCACCACCACCACCACCACCACCACCACCACCACCACCACCACCACCACCACCACCACCACCACCACCACCACCACCACCACCACCACCACCACCACCATCACCACCATCACCACCACCACCACCACCACCACCCTGCTTTGTGCTGTAGCAGCTGGTGCAATGCGTGGTGCTCTCCCCAGGGCTTCGTTGTTTGTGCACACTCTTGCTTCTCTGTAATGCTCTTCAAAGCGGTCCCTGACACATCGCTCCGTCTCTCCCACATAATCTTCTCCATGAAACAAACAGAGCATTGAGTAGAGAACATCCGGCTACATAAACTGACCGTCACTCATACCAACATCACATTTACAACATTCCCCTTTGCCTCCACCTTCTCTTCTCCTTTCTGTACACCTCTCGTGAGGGGTGTGGGCACTCATGACTGGTGAATGAAGACAACACCAGCATGTCTTTCAGAGACCTATCAGGCTGAAAGACACCACACGCGCTCCTGTTGTATGACAATCGTCATGGACCAAACTGCAATCACTGATGAATAGAACCTTGAGGCTGGGCGCGAATGTATTCTTGGTGCGGCCGGTGGCTTGTCTTGGCATGGGTGTGCTCAAACCCGTCCTGGCTTTTAGTCGTTGTTTAGACTGATCTGAACTGGCTTTCACTGTGTTCGGTGTGTTTCTCCATTTTGCATCTTTCTCGTCTGTCGCAGAAAAATCGCCAGCTGATTGTTTCATCAGCATGGGCAGTGGATCTGCCAGGGATGACCGCAGCATTTCAGAGACCAAGCAGTACTTGAAGGATACTGGCTTCATCGACGAGAACACGGTCGTCACAGAGATCACTGAATATGAACTAGTCCCTGTGACTAGGCTGGCCATTCGTGACAGCAAACGACTGAAGTTTAAAGGTCAGCATTACTGTGCAAGCATGATTGCGCGATTGCTTGATAAGGGAGCTGCCGAATGCCAGATAGTTTGGCATTTTACATAACTCAAGCCGCTTTAGGAGCTCCACTTTCCACCTTTCATGTGTGTGTGGGGGGGGGGGGGGCGTCTCAGGTGCAGTGGTATGTGCAGTTGATTTCCAATCTAGAGGTTGCGGGTTCAATTCCAGACGAATATGGTCGCACACGTCTTTCTTCTCTTTCTCATTCTCCTAGCTCTTCTTTCATTCTCCTGGGTGGTTACCAACAGCCAGTGTATGCCGGAGTATGTGGTGTGGCGTGTGTGTGTAAAAAAAATGAAAAAATGAAATTAAAGATTCGCTGTCCAGAAAAAGCCACTTCAATCAGCTGTATGGTAGATACCAGGCTAAAATTAATGGCGGTCAATTCATCAGCCTTGCATGCAAGCTGTTGAATGGTGTAACCCCAGCACAAGTTGCTATGTCTAACAATAGCTGTTCGCTATCCTTGCGTTCGCGATGGGCAGGTCTGAGGTCTGAGGTGTGCATGCACGAGCATGCGTATGTGTGTGTGCACACAAACGCGTTTGTGTATGCGTGTGCGCACATGTGTGTGTGTGTGGGGGGGGGGGGGGTGTTTCCCAATGTGTGCATGTATTTGGGCCATCATTTCCCATATTACGCTAGTACCATGTAAGCAAGTGATCAGATATGAACGGCAAAGAGGCATAGGTTACCTAATACATGTACATGGGAGCATCCGGTCGTTTGTATTGCCGGTTCTACACTTGAGATGGTATCCAGTATGTGTCACATGATATTGTGTGCATCCCGCCATGTTTTCATGCACGTACTAGTAAACATGACGAGCAGATCAAAGGTGCAGGTGGAAAGGCCGCATCTTGTTCTTATACGAAATTTAAAATTTTGTGCTAGGCTAATAGCGAAAAATAATTATACTCACAAGTTAAAGGGGAAGTTACGGCTAAAATCAAAATTTCACCAGTTGTAGTCTTCGGGGTGCTGAGTCGAATGGCCCGGCAGTCTTGGTCCGAGGAAGCTGAGACGCTCCCTTCCTACTTTAATCCCAATCGAACTCCCGCATTTCCACCGAAACTGGGTGACTGCGCCCTACTAGATGGGGATTTGTATGGAAAATGTCACTAAAAGCGCCATTTCGTTCTTTATATGAGCACGGATGACCGCGATTGGCCCATATGTTGTAGTCTTTTGGCCGCTAAGTCGACTGGTTTTGGTCCGAAAAGGCTGCGATGCAGCGTTCGGCCCTTATTCCCAATCGAACATGCTTGAACAAGCGGTCACGTGCTCCTGCGTACACCAGTCACCTGGTCACCGTGCCTGCAGGGTACAACTTACAGCCTGTTTGACCTTTTTTGGGTGCAGTCCTGTCACTCGAGTTGAACTCGATTTGAACCTTGGTGTGAAAGTTGTCGCCTGCTGGCGCTCTGACCAGGTGACTTGGGCTCACAGGAACACGTGACCGCTTATTCAATCATGTTCGATTGGGAATAAAGGAGGAACGCTGCATCGCAGCCTTCTCGGACTAAAACCAATCGACTCAGCAGCCAAAAGACTACAACATATGGGCCAATCGCGGTCATCCGTGCTTTTATAAGAACGAAATGGCGCTTTTGGTGACATTTTGCATACAAATTCCCATGTAGAAGGGCGCAGTCACCCAGTTTCGGTGGAAGTGCGCGAGTTCGATTGGGATTAAAGTAGGAAGGGAGCGTCTCAGCTTCCCCGGACCACGACCATTCGACTCAGTTCCCCGAAGACTTCAACTGGTGAAGTTTTTATTTTAGCCTTAACTTCCCCTTTAATGATGCTCAAATTCTCTCATTACTTAATCACCCCTTTCAGTTAAACTTTCCCATTTTCTTCTTTATTCGGTCTCTGACTTGATGGATGTGTACATGCGTGAACGTGCATGTGTCACTGTGCATGCATATACACTGTTATTATTCTGAAACAGATCAGAGGTCATCTATAGTGAAGTTCATCATCGACTGTGAATATAATCACACGGCTCCGAGTTTCATTAAAAGTGTCATTCGTAATCTCCGCAATCTCCTTGGCGATTGGAGCATCCACGCCGACAGCGTGCACGGCGAGAGCGGAGGCACAGCAGTGTTTGTACAGATGTCTGCCAAGGCTCATACCAGGCTCTGGGAGTTCTGTAAGGATCGATCTAGCCTGCTCGCTGGTCTGCACATTCTGGAAGTGTCAACTGTGGACGGAGCAGTAGTCTTCAATTTCCGTCCCACGACATGCAGTGGCGAAGGTAAGACGGATTGGTGCTGTAGGAAATAGGAATGCACCGATAGAAGCCAGTTAACTCCTTAGCCTTAGTTCCATGATGATAGGGAGGTCATCACTAGTCAACAGACGACTGGCTGTCGTGTGGGAAAGTGGTTGCTGCATGCACATTTCGATCCATGATGTTGGTCCGCACACAAGTTTTCGAGGAGACTCTCTTCACAGAACGAAGTAGTGTTCACAACCAAACAGCTTCCTTGATATGCTTCAATTTACCTCTTGAGCAAAAAGTCCGAGACACTTTGTTTTCTTGTTCAGGTATTACTCCTGATGACCAAAAGCGCTTGGTTGAAGAGTTCTCCAAGAGATATCCATCCTTGGACCGAGATGAGCTGTCTGTCGCTGTGGCTGACCAACAGAACGTTCAGCATGCAGTGATTGCACTGACCAAGCTCGTCTTCGATGATGACGGAGCATGCTTGAATGCACTGCCTGAGATTCTTCGTCGTGAGTTTCCATACCATTGTTTTGTGGTTGTGTTGCGTGTACTGTGTCTATTGGGCCTTCTGTCTATGTTGAGAACAGGTGTGCATCAGCGATAATATTTACATCGTGTTATAAAAGCACAAACGCCGTATCATTTTGGCAATGTCACTGGGACCACAATGAAGAGAAATAGTGCGTTTTGCCGCATCGGAATAATCGGAGGACGGTTTGGTGCATGTATTGATGAACTTGTGGTCCTTCAGAAAAGCCTTCCTTTGTACCGAACCGCCCGAGGCCATTGTGCTGCGAGTAGAATTTTCAGCAAGTCTGTGGGAGGGTATTCCCCTATAAAGGTGATGTGTGTGGGGGGGGGGGGGGGGAGGGAGGAGATGGAGGGGGACACATGAATCTCTCGCATCTTAGCACCAGCAACGTTACTCGCTGTTATGCGGGATTCACAGAAGCATTTTTACGATGCAATGCACAATGCGACATCCGCGAAATCAGGAAATTCCCAAAACGAACCGATCGCGCAGCTCACTCAGCCGTCACAACTGGCCCATCACTGAAGTTGAGCTTGCCACTGCTTGGCTCAATTTTCGCGATGCGACATGCGATGTGATGAACGATTTTGACCTTTGCAACAAAGTTGTACGAAATGTTCAAGAGTTGCTTGCAGATTTGTGCAAGTTGTACCCGACTGCACAAATGCCACAATGACGTACGCATTTGCATTGAGCTTTGAGGCACGTCAGCAAGGCGTCGTCTACTTATGTTATTGGTAATTTGTTAGTATGCATCGCACTGCGGTGTCGCAGATCATATTGTATCGCGCATAGCATTGCAAGAATGCTTCTACGAATGCCACCTAAGAGTTAAGGAGAACAAGTGACCATGCAGCCGTAAAATTATGCTTTGCCTTTCCTCTTGCGGTCTTTCTTAGGTGTGGCGGCAAGAACGGCAACTTCTACCCCTGCTCACGTTGTTCGTAAGTGCACCAATATGGCTGTGATGAAACCTTGGTCCATCACAATGCACATGTGTACATATTGTGTGTGTGTGTGTGTGTGTGAGTGTGTATGTGTGTGTGTATGTGTGTGTGTGTGTGTGTGTGTGTGTGTGTGTGTGTGTGTGTGTGTGTGTACCTCGGACGCCCCGGATCCCTCCGTACCGGCATCGGTGACTTGTTTCACATGCGCCCGGCACTTCGCACGTCAGGGTGACCTCGCTAGGCACAAGTGCACGGCTGAACGGCAGAAGCCGGTTTCAGAGCAGAGAGGTGCATGTCAGTGCCCTCGGTGTCATCGTTGGTTCCGGAGCCGCGGAGGCTTGGCTGTGCATCGTTGCTTCGCTTCTACCTCGTGCCCAGTACCGACCGAACCAGCTGCTGTTGTCACCGGTGACACTACCGCTCGGAGGTGCTGCAATGCTCACTGTGACACCTGCAATCGTTGTTTCCGCTCACTCCACGGACGCAACCGCCATCGCTGTTTAACGCACTGCCACCGGCGTGTTTGCTCCTCTCCCTCCTCCCGCAATGGGACCACGTAACCTTTAAGGCAGTGGGTCGACAGGACAGGACAGGTGTGTGTGTGTGTGTGTGTGTGTGTGTGTGTGTGTGTGTGTGTGTGTGTGTGTGTGTGTGTGTGTGTGTGTGTGTGTGTGTGACCCTCCAGCTCAAGATTGTGTTTTCCTGATTCACGAAGGCCGAAGCAGCACGCGTACAGACGTTTGTTGAACAGAACCTCATGTTCACATTTCTTTTTATATTGTTCCTTTTTCAGTCGTTGCATTTATTGGACCTGCAGCAGACTGTTCACCTGGTTTGTGATATTTCTTTCCTCTGTTGGTGAGTTCTTTTCCATCAATATGGCAGATTGTTTTGATTTCCTTTTTTTCTTCAATTCATTCTGCTGTACTTCCTGTTTTGTTTTGCGCCACCGCCCCTCACCTTGCGCTCAGTTCTCTGAGTGGAGGGCGGCGTGACCCCACTGGGGTGGCTGATTGATAGTAGTAGTAATGTGTGAGTGTGTGTGTGTGTGTGTGTGTGTATGTGTGTGTGTTCGCTAGGCTTAATACACAGGTTGTTGTTTCTGACCTCAATCATGTCCCTCCGATGGGAATTTCAAAGGAATGTCAAATCATCTTGCTTTTTCATTTGCATCATAGTTTCAAGAAAGCGGAACCTCCGAATGTTGCATCTGATGCTTTCTGCCAAATAACTGACACTTGACTAACGGCTGCTGCCGTCTGGAGCACACGAGAATCACGTCGAGCAAGGAGTGGTACTTTCTTGCAGGTTTGCCGAGTGGAAGGTTCGACGTGCTCCTGGTATGCTCAAGACGGCAGTCGTGTGTCAGTCAAGTGTCAAGTCACTCGGCAGGAACGCCAACACTTGTATCTGTCACAAAGAACATTTTCGAGCAAGAGAGTTCAGAATTTTGTGTACTTCAAAAAAGTGTTGTTATCATCACAGTACGGGATAGTGGTAGCGACTTTGGGACAGTGCAGAGAAATGCCTCAGGCTTGAATCTGTTTTCCTGCCATTGGTTTTATTATTTTGTCTTCTTTCTTGCAGATCCTGAAGAGGCCATTTCAACCCGTGTCTCGGCCAATCCTGGACGTGCAGTAGAAATCCAGGGAGCTGACAATGAGCTGTCTCTCCGGCCGCAATTTAAGTCTGAGGTAAGAAGAGACTAGATGCCAACATCAAAGGTAACGCAAAGACAGTGTTAGGTCTGGTCATGTTACGTGGGTGTGGGGGGGGGGGGGGGGGAGGAGGGAAATGTACCCCTTGAAACATTTGACGTGGAGTATGGTGCACGGTTGTATTTCATTGAAATCTGAGAAATAGAGATTTAATGCAATCATATTTGTAAGAAGAGGTTGCAGCGACTTCAGCGATCCATTTTTTAATTCATTTATTCCATACCGTTTTTTTATATTCTGCAGTGGTCTTTCCGTGGCCGTCTACCATATAGCTGGCAACAGTTCCATCGTTGTACCATGTACAATGGGCATGCTTACATAGTGTGCCAGGAAGGGAAGGAAGCACCAATGATCTACCGGTCTACTCATTCTCTCAAGGAAAGTCTTCAGGTGGCATGGACAAGAGTATTCGCCATTGGCATCCCAAACTTTTCTTTCCTCGGTTCTTTTTGCCTTCATAATGAAAAAATGTACTTTCCAAGTATCAGTGATAGGTATATCCCCAAGATCCATGTTGTAGATCTACAGGGAAACTGTTGTACTAGAGAAATACAATGTGATTGTATCCCAGTACAAGCTAAGAGTATGAATACATCTTTAGAACCTTTTTTGGATGTATTTATAACCCAGTCAGCGCTTCTAGTAGTATGCTTATGGCGCTATCATTTCTTGGAAGTTATGTCATTAGATACCAGACATGATGGTGCCGTTTGGACAAAATTGGATCCGCTCGGCATGCCACAGCGGCCCGAATACAGCTGCATCAGTGACCATATTCTGTTTGTGATATCAAGGAGAGACCTCAATGATACGCATTTGTCAATCATGAAGTTGGATGTAAGTGAGGAAAGTCTGCGAATGCCATCATGGCTCGAGATCAAAGTGGACAGGACTCTTTATGTAGATGTATTGCGTTCTGTTGTACCAGCTGCTGTGGGTAACACTATAATCATGCCGAGGTACAACCACAGCCGTGATAAATTTAAACCTGTCAATGGTGTCATGTGTATTGATTGCAGTACGTGTATAGGCCAGTGTTCTGTCTTGCCGTCGCCATCCAATACACCCTTTGTCAGGCAGTTCTTGGTGGATGGCGATACGCTTATTGCACTCGATTATGATCACTCAGTGTATACTCTTCAGCTACCTGACGATATGTAGACACCAGTGATTGATCGGCTTCTACATGCATGTATGCCAACGCGGTGTACAATGTAGATATTCTGCTGCGGCTAGGTCATGTGATAGACAACTGGTGCACACTGTGTGTTTTTTATGATCTTGGGTTTTTTTTCGTTTGCACATGCATACCCTGTTCTGCTGGTGACCCATATGAGCGATGTGTTTGGTGTCCAGTTCTTTCAGGCCATCATTCTACATAGGCACTGTCCTGAAATGCTTATTGTCTATGTACATATTATACATTAGGTTGGAGGCATATTATAATTATATAGATATTATGTATATAGAATGCTGTCCATGGATTGGATATGATGTATTATATATATACATAGAATATTAGTCTCTAAAACTCAACAGCTCTCTACACATACATACTCATTATAACTGTGTACATAGTAGTCTTTTTTCTTGTCAGTGATTGACAAAACCCCATAGGTTGAATTGGTCAGCAGCCACATTACTTACTTCCTAGATATTGAAGAACTGACTAATTGGCTCTGTGTGTGCGTGCAGATGTGTACCGTACATGTACGCATAAAGGTAACGTTGCACTGGTCCAGCCAAGAGTATAGGGTCACTTTGAGAATTATGTTACGTCAGTCGGTCGAGATAGAGAGAGTGCGTGCACGAGAGCGAGATAGAGTGCGTGCGCACGCGCGCGAGAGAGAGAGAGAGTGCGTGCGTGAGAGCGAGAGAGAGAGAGAGTGCGAGAGAGAGAGAGAGCGCGCGAGAGAGAGCGCGCGCGAGAGAGAGAGCGCGCGAGAGAGAGAGAGAGAGAGAGAGAGAGAGAGAGAGAGAGAGAGAGAGAGAGAGAGAGCGCGAGAGAGAGAGAGAGAGCGCGAGAGAGAGAGAGAGAGAGAGAGAGAGAGAGAGAGAGAGAGAGAGAGAGAGAGAGAGAGATAGAGACAGAGAGAGAGAAAAGAGAGAGAAATCACCTTACAATTGCATACAGAAAGGGTTTGCGTACATGTAACAAAAAGAAGAAAAAAAGGTGCGGCATTATCAAGGGAAACAGATGAGTACTGTCACCACAATAGATGAAAAGCCAAAGACGTAGAGTGGAAGATTTGTCAAACCAGCACATTATACAAAGTAGGAAGTCTCAAGACTTGATCAACAAGCAGTGCCTTCACACCAAAGCAATCACAAGTGCAGAGATGGAAGGAAACAACCGCAGCAGCTATATGATGTATTGGCAGTCCCCCTGGTGGTGGTGGGGGGGGGGGAGGGGGGGGGGGAGGGGCTAGTGCAAGAATTTAAAAGTTGATCTCCGTTGCTATATGCTGAGCGTTATACACTGAAAGTGCTAGCTGCATTAGACCTACATTTATAAGCACGTAACTGCATGCGAGAATATCACATACTTCGAGTACATGCTAGCTAAAGTAGGTGCGAGAATATCATACACATGCTGGCTACAGTAGAGCTACAAGAAAAGCACTGTACTCGAGAATAGCATGACGCTACCAGCGTATACAATCCAACATGGAGTAACTGATGAGGACATTCATGTGAGGTGAGGCCTCTCTATCTGAGCACACGTCCGTCTGGCATCAGTTCTGCCCTTCACATGTTTCATAATCCCTACTCCAGTCGACCTGCATACACTGAGGGGGCTTGCAATTGCAACGGCCAGGCTCGACGAACTGGAAATGTTTGCAAGTGAACTTCTTTTTATAAACGGGACCAGCAGAGTGCTGGAGCGGAAGACTACTCTCACCTGTTACCTTCATGGTCACAGTTGACAATGTGCAGAAGTCATGCATGGCTGATCACAAGCAGCTCATGTGTACATCGTGTACCTAGTAGCTGTAGATCTTGGTGCAGTGGATGTCCTTGTGGGCACACTCACGATTGCGGTTATAGCAGTAGAAGTAGCCGCTCTTCAGCTTCAGGACTTTCACCAAGCCGTTGGGCCAGCGATCCGGCTAAGAGGAACATGCAGAGAGAGAGAGATGAGAGAGACAGAGACAGAGACAGACAGAGAGAGAGAGAGACAGAGAGAGAGAGACACAGAGTGAGAGACAGAGACAGAGAGAGGGAGAGACGACATGGAGGAAAAAACTAAAAAATCATAATAATAAATGGTGCAAGAATGAACTCGGATGGAGAGTCAAGTGTACGAAATTGTCAACATACGAATTCCGTGGGAACTGGAGGATTAACTAAATTTATATCCTCATCACTGACATCAGGCTCATGCTCATTATTCCAACAAGAGAATACATCTTGACTCTTCCTTTCAATAATTATTCGCTCCAAAGAAGTCCAAACAATGGACGACAGATAACTCGAAAACAAGAATGATTTCATTTTACAAGAGCATAGCAAAAAAGGAACAGCATGCGCACACAAAGGGGTGCACGCGTATGTAGAACAAGTTATACGTGCACACGTTACACGTATCTGTGTCCGCTGAAGAAGTTACCGGTACGCAGAAACAGTTACGTAGTAAGAGACGCACACTACAAACGAGCGTCTGCAATAGCCAAACGGAATGAAAACCGGTAAATAAATATCTGAGAAGACTGTAATTTTAATGTAAGTTAGTTAGTGACTTCAGACAAATAAGAAATAAATGAATAAATAGATTCTTGAACTTTCTAGCGAAATGAGCATTTCCTACACTCCCCCCAATTGGCCAGTTATGGACAATTGTGAGTAGACCCAAATTAAATGCAGTTATTAGTGATCAGCGCTTGTCTCATCTCATTTGCGTGAGCAGCTGCGCGTCTCTGCGATCTTGGTCGGCGTGCTGGAGCGTCTTCATGCTGCTCAACGTCAACCTGCTGACTGTTAGACAACTCTACGGGATAGAGGCGCTGGACTGGTCTCTTCAAGTAATGGCGCTTCCGGCCTGAACCCATCTGAAGCGTAACGGCAGGAACTTGCCCGTCTCTTCCCGTGTGCAGCTCATGGACCCTTCCAAGGTTCCATTGACATCGCTTGGCTGACTCGTCCTCAATTACCACCACATCATCAAGTGACACCGCGTCTCCGGCTGTAGTCTGCAAGCTGCGATGGCTGTCGCGAAGGTCAACCAAATACTCCCGTCGCCATCGACTCCAGAAATGGGTGAGGATGCTGTCGAGGTATGCCAGTCGCCGGTTGGCGTCTCCTGGAGTTAAGTCAAAGTCCGGGTCCATTTGGGGCACAAGCTCATCCGCCTGACCATGCAATCGGTGCCCACATAGCAAGTGGCTGGGGGCGAGGGGCTCCTCGGTGTCTTCCGACGATACATACGTTAGTGGCCTCGAGTTCAGAGTTCTCTCCACTTCCATCAGAATAGTCTGCAATTCATCTAAAGACAAATGCGCGTTGCCAATGACCTTCTTCAAGCAGCCCTTCATCGACTTGATTAGGCGCTCGAATATCCCACCCCACCACGGTGCCTTCTCGACATTAAATAGCCAGTTGACCCTTGAGTCAACCAATTTCCGCGCTGCGGCCTTGAAAGTTGCTGCGTTGTCGGAAATTACACTGGCTGGTGTTCCAAATCGGGCGGACAAGCGCCGAAATGCCAACATAAACGCCGACGTGGACATTTCACTCACGACATCTAGATGAACTGCTCGAGTCGTGCAGCACGTAAACAGGCATATCCAAACCTTGGCTGGACCATTCTCGTTCCGGATGTGTAGTGGTCCGGCATAGTCAACTCCCACGTAGCTGAATGGAGTAGTCTGCTCTACCCGGAATCTTGGTAGCGGAGGTGCTTTGGGTCCTGTGTATGGCTTCGAGTCGTGGCGACGACAAGTTCTGCAGCTGTGAATAATTTGACGTATCCGTTGACGTCCCTTCACGAGCCAGAAACGTGCGCGAAACTCCGTTAGTGTGGCTTTGACCCCACCATGCATCACTCGGGCATGGCACTCATTAACAATCAGGTCAGTCACGTGGTGATCCTTCGGCAGAAGGTACGGGTGCTTGGTTGTCAGAGGCAAATCAGAGTTCTGGAGTCGGCCACCGCAGCGGATGAGACCGTTGTCCACAAACAGACCGAATTCTGCCTGCCAAGACTTGTAGTGCTGATGAGACGGGAGCGCAAGTTGAAGATGGTTGATCCACAGCTTCTCGGCGAGATCTAAATCTCCAGCCGTGAGTTCGCTCTCACTCTCTTGCCGTTTAGACTTGAAGCGCTGTACGGCCTTCAGCACTGTAGCTGTCACTCTCAGAAGTCGGTTGTAATTGCTGAAGCGGGTACAGTCGATGACCAGTCCGATGTCTGACGATGGATGTGTCGTTGTCAGTAAGGCGGCTGAGTTGTCGACGACTTCCATTTCTCTTCTGCTCATCTCTGCACGGCACTCCTCGGGCATGCTACTAGCGCTGATTTCCTGTCCGTCAGATGTCTTTAGCCATGCTGGCCCACATTTCCATTTCTCGTCCAGCGCAAGTTCAATTAGCGTGGTTCCCCTGGAAGCAACGTCCGCTGGGTTGTCCTTGCCAGGACAATGACGCCAGGCTGCCGCTGGCACTCTCTCCCGTATCTCCTGAACACGGCGTCGCACAAACTGCTTCCATTCACGCTGTTCGGTAATCCAGTGCCACGTAACGCGCGAGTCGGTGTAGCACAATACGTTCTCGATACTGACTGTAGGCTCCAGTGCGGTCGTCACTGATTGCACGAGCTTCGCCAGTAGTACTGCAGCTAGTAGTTCAAGTCGGGGTATCGTCATCCCGGTCAGTGGTGCGACCTTGGTCTTGGCCACAAGGAACTGCACATCTCGTCTAGTGCCGCTGTCAACGCACAAGTAGAGGACTGCACCATAGGCTTGACTGGATGCATCTGCAAAACCCCGCAGAGAGAACGCTCTGATGGCATCTGCGTCCATGTCGGCAAATGCTGACGACAGCCACCTTGGCAGCTGTAGGGTAGGTCCACCGTTGAGGGATTCGACTAGCTTGTTCCACTGACGAAGTTGAGTAGGCTCAAGTGAGTCGTCCCAGGACAGTTTGCTCTGGCATAGATCGCGACACATCAGTTTGAACAGCAGGATCACCGGTGCGAGGAAGCCAAGTGGGTCGAAGAAGCGCGCTGCTATGCCGACAATGTGACGTCTTGTTGGTGTCACTTCCTTGGCGAGTCGCGCCACTTGTGCCATGTCGAAGATGAGGGTGTCCTGCTGGTAGTTCCAAGTGACTCCCAACACCTTGTGTAGCGAGTCCCTCGTCTCCTGCGGCTGTCCCAGGGACAGTTCGGCATAGGTTGGATCAGGTGAGCTCGGGACTTGCGAGTTACCATTGCTGCTGACCATTGCAAGACTGGCTTTACTGTGTTTGATGCGACGTCTGAGGTCAGGTGAGTTGGTAACAAACTTGCGTAGGTTGAATCCGCCGTCGGCCAGACGAAGCTTTGATTTCAAGTACAGCATGTACACTTCGTCATCCGTTTCACCACCCACATTGATATCGTCCACATAAGTCCCGTCGGCCAGAGTCTGCACAAACTCAGGATCATCTTGGCTGAACTGGCTGAGGTGGTGTCTCACGGTTGCGTTCAACAGAAACGGGCTGGATGTGACGCCGAACACAACGCGGGTGAAGCGGAATACAACAATCTCGGGATTGTCTTTCGTGACATCGTCAAACCACAGGAATCGCAGGACGTCCCTGTCCTCTTCGGCGATCGATATCATGAGAAATGCCTTCTCAATGTCGCCTGACAGCGCGACCTCATGGGTGCGGAACCTCAACAAGATATCCACAATACTGCCGGTGAGTGGTGGACCTGATCTCAGACATGCGTTAAGGGACGTGCCGGCTGTTTTAGCTGACGCGTCGTACACCACACGCACCTTCGTTGTCGATTTATCACTTCGCACGACAGCATGATGCGGCAAATAGTGCGTTCGACCGACTGTGCTGTCTTCTGTCTCCACGGGTTCAATGATGCCGGTACGCAGCTGCTCTTCGATGGTGTCATTGTAGGACTTGAGCAGCTCAGGATCCTTGCGGAGCCGTTTGTGGAGACCGACGAGTCTGGACTTGCAGAGTTGGAAATTGTCCGGCAACAATGGATGATCGTCCTTCCATGGTAGTCTGACCTCATACCGTCCATTGTTGAAATCGATTGTCTCAACGAGTTCTTCATACTCCGTCTTGTCCTGGTCTGCAAGTGATTCAATTTCCCAGAACCTTTGCAGGGAGTCAGTGAGCTCTCGATCTGCTGCTGATGCCTCTTCCTCGACGGAGAAGACGTGCGTGGCCAGTGCACTGGTATCTTCTGGCGTGGGAAGTACGGTGGCTGGACCGGATAGGACCCACCCTAGCTTTGTCTCAATGGCCACAGGTCCGTCGGCACCTCGGATGATGTTACCCGTTGCAATAGTCCAGTAGAGGTCCGCGCCGATTAGCAGATCCACTGATCGAGTACCTGTGTCATATCTGGTGTCGGCTAGCGCCAATCCATCGAGGTGACTACAGCACTCCACTGACGTGTGCATGGATTGGCCAGTAATCGGGTCACACAATAGCGGCACAGCATAGGCTTGTACCGCGATGTCCTCGCCGTCGGGGACTCGGATTCCAAGTTGAACTACATCAACTACTTGGGACGTTGTGTTGTCCTGGCCGAACGCCTTGATGATGACCTTACGTTGATCCAGGACCGGCAGTTGCAAAGCGTCACGGAGAGCGCTCGTAACATACGTCCGTTGGCTGCCGCCGTCCATCAACAGTCGGATAGCGGCGCTGCGATCAGACTGTGTGACATTATAAGCCACGGCCTTGGCGGTCTGTAGCAATACCGATTCCTGTCTTCGAGGGTCCACGGAAGCATTCGCAGCAACAGCCTGCGTGTTCATCTCTGCCTTCTGCTGCCTCTCGCCACTACATATGGCTACGTTGTGGCTCCCACCACACTTGACACAAGAGTATGCATTCGGACAGGTCTTTGCCATGTGATTGCGTTTGAGGCATCGGAAGCACCTGCCTTGCTTCCTCAAGATCTGTCTACGGGTGGCAACATTCGTCACTGTTACGCACCTCCCGGCAGTGTGACTACCATTGCAAAAGAAGCACTTCAGTTGCTGAGGCGCACCAGTGTAGAGTGTTGACGTTGTGGCTGGTGCGGACTTTCTGGGTTGGGCTATCGGGATGGTTGGCTTAGCTGCCGGTGCCGCTCGCTCCCTGGCACACAGCTCCAGATGGACAGCCGATAGCAGCTCACCAATCTCCCAATGCTGCTCAGTCCCGGCAATCTTGCGGCTGACAATGAGCCGGAACTCTGCGGGTAATCGGGACATCAAAACAGACGTCAACAGGGATCCATAAGACTCGCGACTCATCCCGAGGGACTGTAAACTACGAATGTGTGTCTCAACGGTGGTGTATAGCTTCCTGAGGCCAGTTACATCATCCTCGCTGGTGACAGAAGCAACATTCAAGAGGCCCTCCATGTGGCTGGCGACAATGACATGGACGTTGCCGAATCGTTGCTTGAGGACGTCAACTGCAGCCCTGTAATTGGCTCCTGTCAGGGCAAATCCGGCAATTGCCTCTCGTGCCTCTCCCACTACCAAGGACTTTAGGTAGTTGAACTTATCAACGTCATCCAGGGTGTCATTGCCATCAATGGCCGACCCAAACATGTCCCAAAACGAGGACCAAGCTCGGATGTCACCGCTGAACTTAGGAATCTCGAGCTTGGGCAGCTTCATCCGGTGGTGGAAGCTGCTTCCACTACTGGCACTCGTACTAGACACTACACTGGAACGCGAGACACACGGGGCGATAACTGGCGAGTCCTCACCAGTCTCATCTGGAGCTGGTGCCCGACTGTCCAGATTGCCTTTGGCCTTGCTTGTTGTGCAGCACTCATCCTTTCCGGAAACGGGTGACAGTGACTCTGACTTTGGCTGTGAGGATTGGGAAGCCCGTACACTGGCGATATTCTCCAACAGTTGACTTGCATCTGAAATGGCTCGCGTAGCCCTGCCGATGCGGGACTCGTACTTCATAAGATAATCCGCTGCATCACAAATTTCAGATTCAATGTCGACGTCCTCGATGGCGTCCAAAATTTGGGAGTCCAAACGCCCCAGCAAATCCACTTTCTCCCGGAGTTTCTTCAGGTCCAAAGCACAATCCTCTCTATCATTTACGCTGAGATCTTCCCCTTGCCACTCGGGTGAGCTCCTCGTAACATAGGAAATCCTCTCTACAAAATCATCGATTCTAGATACCAATTTGGAGGCAGCTGACCGATGTGCTCCACGCAATCGAACTAACCGTTGGACCGACACTGTTGTCGTCTTTGGCTGATCCTCAGACTCCGTCTCGGCCATAATCACAAATCAAATTTCTCGGGCTCGTGTTGAAGCTCGAAGGACCATGTACGAAATTGTCAACATACGAATTCCGTGGGAACTGGAGGATTAACTAAATTTATATCCTCATCACTGACATCAGGCTCATGCTCATTATTCCAACAAGAGAATACATCTTGACTCTTCCTTTCAATAATTATTCGCTCCAAAGAAGTCCAAACAATGGACGACAGATAACTCGAAAACAAGAATGATTTCATTTTACAAGAGCATAGCAAAAAAGGAACAGCATGCGCACACAAAGGGGTGCACGCGTATGTAGAACAAGTTATACGTGCACACGTTACACGTATCTGTGTCCGCTGAAGAAGTTACCGGTACGCAGAAACAGTTACGTAGTAAGAGACGCACACTACAAACGAGCGTCTGCAATAGCCAAACGGAATGAAAACCGGTAAATAAATATCTGAGAAGACTGTAATTTTAATGTAAGTTAGTTAGTGACTTCAGACAAATAAGAAATAAATGAATAAATAGATTCTTGAACTTTCTAGCGAAATGAGCATTTCCTACATCAAGGACTAATTATAAAAAGTAAAAAGGACCAAGGAACTATAAGTTACACTATAATGTCCACTAACACCACCAGTTACTAAACAATCAGCTCATGCAATAACATTGCACGACACTGACCGACGGTACTGACGTTTTACAACATTATAGTGTAACTTGTAGTTCCTTGGTCCTTTGCTCATCGTAGGTCAACCAAGACCATGTCTTGAAATATGACGCGTGACAAGAGCGCTTCACCACTGTCTTTTTCCCAAATTCCCGCAGAGGAAACGCGAAGGAAGTGGTTGGGTGGACTGGCACTTCTGGCACAGATACTTCGCTGACAGAAGCCATAGCTGCTAAGCATGCACTGCGGCTAAGCTGACCAAACAGCGAGACAAATTTGAAAAACTACTTCGTTGAGTAAAAGAATCTGAAGCACTCGACGAAAACCCTCAAGTACTACAGATTACAATGTAGAATCCATCATGGCACGTGCTTTCAGGTCACGCGACTCGAGCCACAGCCCCACAGGCCCACAGGCCACAGCTAGCCCTCAAGCGCGCACGCGTGCACGGCAAGATCTAGGCCTCCGCGGAATATGCTCGTATTTTTACCGATAATTCTTTTGAGCATTGCTCAAAATTTCGACCGATTATTCCCGTAATTCCACCAATAATTCTCACAATAATTCTTTTTTTTCTTCCCTTTTTGCAGATACCGTGCCGCGTACGGGTTTTTTGCCACTTAAAACGGGCAAAAAATCACGGTTCGCGTGAAACTCGGCTGGAAGCTTTTTTTTTCTTTCTTTACCGGGCGACCAACTAAGTTACTTCAGGATCATGAGCTTTTTGGTACAAATAAGGGTGTTACATGTATAATGGAAAAAAATTGAAAAAAGGGGGGCATTGCTCAAATTTTACCGATTATTCCACAAAATTGCCAATAATTCCCGTTTTAAAAATCACACCGATAATTCCCGAAATTATGCCGGCACATTCCGCGGAGGCCTAGCAAGATCAGAGTGAGATCGCAAATACGCGTACGTATGTACAATCGATGATCACAACATGACATTACTGCGTCCTAAAAAAATCGTCGGTGGCCGAAAAGTTGGTCCGGCCATGGCCGGACCGACCGGAGCGGTTCCGCCGGCCCTGCTGTTGTCCGTGCCACGAGCCAAAACTAGATCCGACTGATTGGATCCATAAGTCAGTGTTCTCATGACACCAGCCTGGTTGCCATGTAGTTCAAAGTAGCACGTTCAAGCCCTATATCGTTCTTTGTGGATATAATCAGTTCAAATTGATAGTGATCACCATGGTAGATGTGTGTACATCGTAACAAAAAATCCGGATGAGGTTTATACTCCACAAAATACTTTATGTGAACAAGATGTGGTAGCACCTTCCATGATAATTTAATTGTTTTGATTTTTATAGGAAAGTTGGCTGCTCCCCACACTGGAGCGCTCGCTTTTCCACCCACTTGACTTGGACTTGGGGTCAAGTGTCAATTAAAGTTGGCGGAAAAGTACGAACTTCGTTGTGGGGAGCAACGGACTTTCTTACGTATGTTGTTGTTGTTTTCAAATCTCTATTCTCGCGATGGCCAATGGCCAATAAGAGATATTGTTTGTTTGAATTCTTTATTCTCACGATGGCACCATCGGCAATTGTTGTTGTTGTTGTTGTTGTTGTTGTTGTTGTTGTTGTTGTTGTTGTTGTTGTTGTTGTTGTTGTTGTTGTTGTTGTTGTTGCTGTTATTGACTATATGTGAAGTTCAAAGCACCATATCAGCGAAACTTCTTACCAGATCTTCACCGTGAAAATGCTCATACTCGGTGGCATCGCGAAAGCCAGCCAGCTGAAACCGGTATGCTACAGGGAAAATGGACAGGTCACAAAACATCGTGTACATTGTAGATAATTCTATGGGTTGACAGGCATAGTGGGGTGGTCTAAGATCATAGTAGATAAACGGTGGGTACCGGGGTCAAGTCCCCCCGTTCGGTCTATTCTCGAATCGACTCTTGGGCCTATTCTTGAATGGGTTCCTGAATGCGCTGAGTGATCCTGATCAGATCAAATTGTGCCAAAGGGCGTTTCACGGCCGAAATACCGATTCGTAAATCTTTCGTTTCCCCTCCTAACCCCTACTTATCTTTATCGCCGTGGCTGGCTATCACCCACTCTCTTCACTTTGACCGGAGTGTCCACTGCGTCTTGAGATGCTGCAATACCGTACTTTCCTGAATATAAGTCGACCTTCTGTGCGCCAGAAATTTTGTCAAAACCTGGGGTTCGACTTACAAACGGAACTCGACTTACATACGGGAATCTGGCACGACAAATGAAGTGACTGGAGTGTCCGTACAAAAATGCACTACCGTACGAACCATGTGAACATTTGGATGACACTGGTTGTGTTCAGATTTTTCAGATTTTGTCTTACTGGCATGATAATTATGATCTCTTCTCGCAGAGAATTCATCATTTTTTATGTGTGGGTGTCATAGAGCTATAAAAACTTTTTTTCATGAAATTGACTCCTGGATTTGGGGTGGTCGACTTATATTCGAAGTCGACTTATATTCGGGAAAATACGGTAAATAAAATTGATACAGTACGACCTGCCCTCAAAGTTTTTTGTTTTGTTTCTGGTTTCTCATTTCTCATGAAGATGGATGCTAGTGTACTGGGAGAATTTCCAACATAATCTGCTGTGAGAGATGACGATGAAGTACAGCAGGTCCCGGCATTCTTCCCGGTATTGAAGTATAATTCCAGTTCCTTTGCGGATGTGCTGGAGTTTCCCTGGCACCAGCGCATGCATTGTTCCCCAACCCCATTATGTTTTAGTCTCGCCCACTCTCTCCATGTTAGATGTACTGCACGGTCCACAGTCCATTCAGAAAAAGACGAGCGCTGGCTCTGGAGAGCTCCCGTGTTTGGTGATTTTTCGTGATTTTGTGGTACACTGTGCAGTACCGCGAGATTCGAAACTTAAAAAAGGGTCCAAAAAGGTGCCTCAACTGTGGTTCGAACCGCGAATGTACTGTTATGCAAGTGCAGTGAACGGCCTGGATTTTCATGGTTTTTCCCCGATTCAGTGCTTTGGGGGCAAAACCTGGCTGAACTCCTATTCTCGTTGTGGATTGCTCTTTGGAGAAATACACTTCAAAAACACAATTGGAAGAGCATTCCATGGGGGTTGCCAAAGAAATTGTGATAAAACCCAAAAATTGACCCATTTTGGCCAAAAGCTAGGACAATTTTCATCTTTTTTCTGAATGGACTGTAAGTAGAAAACCGTGGGTGCAGTTGAGCAACTGTGTCCCAGGACCGCGCACTGGCGACACTGCGGGCACTGGGTGCAGCACCCAACGGTAGATACATTTCGTCTTCGTGACCTCCTTCAATCTCCTTTCCTGGCATACAAGAACTGTATCCTCCTCAATCGCATGCAAGTGAATTACTTCAATGGGGGACGGGGAGGAATGAGTTGTGCAAGCAGAGGTCTCTTACCGTCTTCGACTTCCTCGTTCCAGACTTTTCCTCGTTCCATGGTCTTGGGCTGTGGGGCCGTCACGGTCGCCGGCGACTCGCCGCTCGTCGGTGCTGTAGCAGCAGCCAGGGCCATGCCGCGTCGGCGGCTCGGCGCACTACACCAATGACATAATAATATTTTCCCCATATTTTCTTTTCATCTGTGTCACCTTTCCCCATGCCTGGGTTACCATGGTTACTTGGACCTCATTCGCTCCCTTGTCATTGAACATGTATGATGTTCAGTTCGTTCGGTTTGCGAATTCAAAATAAACACAAACTAGCCCCCAACCTCAACATGACTGTCTGGACATGCAGTTCTGCGGACAGAGGTTGTATGACCGTTATACACTATGCTACTATACAGGCATATCGCATGTCATCCACAAAACGAGTTACGTGACACGGACCCGTAGCGCGGCGTAGGCGTAGTCGTAGATCTACCCACCCGTAGAATCTGCCCGGCCAGGGCCACCCTCACGCACTGCTGTTGCATGCTGCGGTAGATCTACGCAGTAGCTCACCTCGGCGAAACGTGCACTGGACCTTCGTGGTGAAATTTCACTGCAGCGCTAGCTGTAGTTTCTTCAGTTTTTCATGTTACAGCCAGTACAGGCAGCCTGTAGACGAGTTGTTGTAGGCAGCGAGGTGGTGTTACAGTTAGTTTAGCCGTCTGCTGCTTCGTGTCAAAGTTTGTTTGGGTGCAGGCTGTGTAAGAATCTGTGTGTTGGCCAAAGGGTTTCATCGAAGTTTCCTAGTGGCTCGGAGGCTCCATTCGACTGCTCCATACCGTCACGACGTCGAGAACCGGTACAGCCTATCCGCCCACGACGTTCAAAGTCTTGTCCAGGATTCAAGCAAACCGAGACTCCTGCCTGCAGCCTGCAGGAGCGCTCGACGCCACTGGACGTTCATCGTCCCCGTTTGTCATGGTGTTCCAGTGATTCTGGGTAAGTGGTTGGCCAGTGTTGTTCTGTTCCTGGGGATTGTTGTTCGTTCTCGTTTCCTGAAGTGGCCGCAGTGCACCGGTAACGGGTATTCTCGTTTCCTGAAGTGGCCGCAGTGCACCGGTAACCATGGTAACGGGTATGCATGGCTCATACTACTGTGATCGTCTCAACAACTAAATGACTATTTTGCTTGTGTACTGCGATTCATTGCGAGTAAAGTGCGGTGAATAGGTGTGGGTTCTCTTCACTCAGTGGAGTCAAGTCGAGCCAGCTGTAGTTCCCGGTGCCGAAAAGCTGGCTCGCTCCCCTACATGGCTTCTTCCCCTTGTCTAGCCTCCAAGAGGAACAAAGAAGTATGGTAGCCGACTTGCCGAAATGATAAATAAATAAAGCATGGTTACACCCACTGGTCTTTTATTCGGGCACGTAATCACCGTCGTTTGCACGGAAGGGCGTCGGAAACTCAAAACACCATACAAGCTGTAGATCTACCATGTGAAACCTTGTCAGTGTGTGATAGTGCATGTACTGTAGTGGACATGGAAATCCAGTCGATTGAACGGGGCCGGCGCCCTCACCTCGTACGATGCAACCAGTGCGCTGCGCTGCATCACATACTAGTAATGCACGTTCCGCTTATCCACAGCTGCATGACCAGCGCCCTGGGGCCGCTAGACGTGCGACCGGATTTCCATCTGCACGACAGTACATGTGAATGATATTAAAAGTCTGACCAGAACTCCGTATACAGAGGAACGTTGACTACTGGTCAGAGTATTTCTATACATGGCGTGCGTGGAATATATGGACTGTTACTTCGAAGTATATGTACACAGTCGCGGCCAAAGAAATGCGACCCGCGACTCAAAAGCAGCTCCGCATTTATATTTCACCGTGCATGGTCGAATAACCCATCCGGGAGGGCCAGAGGGCTTAAGCCTTGGTGCTTCTTTCAGCTCCTGGTTTGGACTCCCTGATACACGTTGCCATGAAAAGGGAGGGGTGCTCCCTCGTAAATTTGCTGAGCGGAGGGCTCAGCATGCTTCTCGTACTCTGGACGCGCGTTCTCGACGTTGAGAGCAGCCAACTTCCTCAAGTTGACGTCACATTATGATGCAATGTGCGGGGATTATCAAACATATCCTGGACTTTAGCTACATGTAGTACAAAATAGCACAAGGAAAAATGTTTGATGGTTTGATAAGCTGTACAAACGCCGTAAATCATTCTGGCAAGAGGAGCATTGCATCAAAACAATGCCGTCAACTTGAAATTCTGTTGGGAAAAAACTGTATACGGGAGCTGCTTACTCTTGGGGGTGATGCACTCTTGTCAATGCTCAGTGCACACTCTTGGAACCTTGCCTCCACTGAAACAAAAGTGTGAAACGCTTTTAAAATTTTCGGGTTTCTTTGGAATCTGCAGGCAGGGATAGTGGGATGGTCTGAGACCATGATTGAGAAACAGAGGGTACCAGGTTCAAGTCCTGCTTGGAAGTCTGATCTACTCACCTCCCACCGCTTAGGAACTGCATCTACGCCTTGATCCAAGAGGGCAGTGGCGTTCCTGCGGATACGGAAAACCGGGCCTTTGGCCGAGTCTCACGCGAACCGTGAATTCTTTTTGAATCTGCACCCGCTGAAAACATTCTGAAGAATGTTATCCATGTCAACTCACTAATGATGTGCCACGTCTATTTTGGTTTGTTATGTGTACATGCACAACAGATGGTGACTGACGTCCGTGACTTTTGTTGTTGTCGCAGTCATGGCTACAGCAGAGGTATGAATTGTCCACACGTCATTGCTTTGCCAAATTCTGAAAATGTTGTCTCAAAGACATCTTACAGTGTGCACACACATACACACATGTTTGCATGCGCACATACACTCGCAATCACACGCACGTGCACACACACACATACACACACACGCACGCACACACACACACACACACACACACACACACACACACACACACACATGTTTGCATGCACACGTCCACTCGCACACACGCGCGTGCGCACACCCCCCCCCCCCCCCCCCCCCACACACACAAACATACATACACAGTACATACACATGCATGTGCACACACACATGTGTACACACACATATACAAACACACACATACACACACACACGCATGCACACACATACACACACACGCACTTACTTGTACTTACTTGTTGCTCACTGCCAAAACAGGTCCCGTGGGTCTCCCCGGGAGAGGGGAGAGAGACTCAAAGGGAATCTTGGAAAGATGACTCAATTGGCTATTGAACCGCCCAACGGCCGACACCCCCTAAAATCCCCAAAACTCTGGGTGGACTTGAAAATGATCCCACTTATGGGCTCACCACACCTCAGTAAGTGCGTGAGGACAAGGTGTAGAAAAAGGATTGACGGCATCAGGGTATCCGTCCCGGGGTCCAACTGCAGTTACACCTGCCCCCAGTGAAGGTAATACAGTATGTATCGGTTATAGTGTGGTCGTATACAAGAATATACTGCTTACAAGAATGAACACTCATTTTTTCATAATCATAACACATATTTTATGTGTATATTTATTCTTACAAGCAGTATTATCGCATAGTGGAATATATCGGCCCTAAGAATGGATTTGTATAGCAAAATATGCCAGATTAGTGCAAAGTGTATCGCCTGTAATAACATCTGTGCTCTGTGCATACTCAATACAAAAAGAGAGTTATGTCCATGGGAGCATTGGAGAATCACTTTTTCTGTCCAGTCGGACTCTTTCTTCCGACTTCTCTCGTATCCGCTGCTCCGCAGTCGCCTAGCACGACCGCGAGTCTGATTGATCCGTGTGTATCATGTGAAGAGTCTACGTCACGTGTCCACATGCCAAGCGTGCGCGCATATGATGTGTCACACGTGATTTATCGTGTGTAAGAAATATCGGCAATAAGAATCAAATGTCGTTTTTCAAACACCCACGCTATAACCGATACCTACTGTACTTGCGACTAGTGTGGGTGGCTAAATCAGAGTGGATCTGATATAAGCGTCATTAGCACCATTGATTACACAAGAGTTAATCTAGCCAGAAGCAGTCCATGGTTAACAGGTATGTATATTTCAAATAGAAAGTATACGAACCCTGAAACCAACAAAGGTGGCACATACAACTATACACCATCATGCAGCCGAGCCTGTTGGCAACAGACCCAACACAATCAGGCATAAGTGTACCCAAAAACCGAACTAACTGGCACTCACGCACACACACACACACACACACACACACACACACACACACACACACACACACATGTACCCGCTCCATGCTATCATTGGATGGTTAAAACTTGTGCCAATACGTGTAAAGGGCCATCTTGTATTATTGATTATCTTCAGTGAACAGTAACGCTTCAATGTGGCCTACCTCAGCCAACCAGGCCCCTGAAATGGCAGTGGCCAAACGCAAGCAATAAGCCCATATGAATATATCTGCAGCTAGCGAGGGTTGTCTCATTCCCCGATGAACACTTGATCAACACAGCACAGATCTCTGGCAGTGCTAAAAACAAAAACAAACAAAAAAACAGAACTTGCATCGCACCATGTATGCTGCTAAGTACTGGTCGTAGCCAGGGAGTTGTAAAATACCGGTATTTTACGACTCCCTGGTCGTAACTTACTGGCAGCTTCTGTGATTCTCAGCTCATGGTATGCTAGCCTTTGGCAGGTACTGCTGGCAGAATTTTTGTGTTCAGAATTTTGTACTTTTTCGGGATGCTTTCATGCATGTTTGGTATGTGGATAAAGAAACGGAGCAGAATTCAAGGCAAGGTGAAGTGCCTGCCATAAGTTTTGTATGGTTTTGCCTATTTCACTGCTTTTCAAGCAGAATCTGCCAATTATTCGAGCATTATCCGCCAAGGTCTACTGTATGCACTCTGTATGTTGTTATTGCAGAACCCCGCGGTCAACTCATGGCCATGGTCAAGCCAGATGTTCCGCAAGTGGATCCCACGCCTCCAAGCAGCGCTCAGCTGCGATGCAATTCGTGTTGAATGCTGTGCCAAGCGGTTGATCTCCGATGCGCAGAAGAAGGAATTGATGGCGATAAAAGATTGGGCCAAACACAATGACCGACTGCTAGATATGCTGAGCAGGGGTACAGCTGAGACTTTCCACACCTTCTGTAGTATTGTGCG